CTATTATAAATTACGTAAATAAATGATGGAACAATTCTTAAAAAAAACTTTTTTTTTCTTTTAAAAGCCAGAAATAGAAAGGTTTTGAGGTCGAAGAATAAGCAAGAGAGTAGAAATTAAATGAATGTGATGGATTTTGGATAGAATTTGTAAGGCTTAAAGTCTAAAGAAGAGACTAAACGTAGAAATAGGAATATTCGTCGAGTGGCCGGCAAAAAGTTGACGAAGAAAGTGAAAGAAATTGCATGCAAGAGATAGCTTCACTGATCTCCTTGCTAAAAGAAAATATAGATTACCAAATATTACTTGTCCCTATTACCTTTTTTTCTTGTATGGTTTTAAACCGAGTGTCACTTTTTCAAATCTAATTTTTTGTTTCGGTTTAGACGGATGTTAGAGGCCAGAGCTTTTAGATTTTGATTTAAAACTTGAAGGTTAACAGTTTTTTGTCAATCAATTAAAATGGAAAACGTTCGGGAAAACGTGTTTTCTTAATTTTCAAAAACCAAAATCTTCAAAAATTGATAAAACTATATGATGAGTTTTTGCATGATTACAAAAAAAAACAAAAAATAGATAGAAACTACATGCATTTAACACTTAATATACATTTATTGAATGTTTGTTTAAAGTAGTAGCTTGTTTTTGAATTAATTAACTAAATGGACTAGATAATGATTTTTATATCCCTTCTTTATTTCTATTTTTTCCATGCCATATTGTTCATCAGCATATACCATTTTGAAATATAGCATACCATAACATATTAATCAGGTTAGTAATGCAACTATATTGATGATCACGTTTTATTATATTTGTGATTACACAAACTATTCATATAATGTTTTAATGAAACGTAACATTATATATGACATACCATAGTATATTATACATATTACTTATGTAATTATATTCACATACAAAATATGATATACCATAATTTGAAAATGACATTACATTATTAGTGATCTCATCTTATTATGTTTGTGATTAACCAAACTATTTATATAATATCATAATAAAACGTAATATAGTATACTATATACGATATATCCTTACGATATAACATGTTATATAGAATATAGCATGTTATATATCCTATAACATGCCATATATTAACATGGTATGTCATTTTATTATTATATAATATGCTACTTATGAATAAACATAGTAATATGTTTTGAAGATTGTTTATAATATGATGAATATAATATTAAAAGTTCATATAGTATACATATAACATGTTATATATTAGTATGATATACCATGTGATATAGTAAAATAACATGTTAATATACCATGTGATATAGTAAAATAACATGTTATATGATAAATTATGTTTTATTATAACATTATATATATAGTTTTAGTAATTTATGTCTATTTCTAAAATTTCAAATTGTAATATACGCGAAAAAAATCTTGTCTTTTTTTACATATAAATTATGAGATGATTTAATTTTTAAAGAAACTATTATATCAAACAAATATCAAATGAGAAAATAATATGACAAAAATAAATTGATTTAAAACAAAAAGAAAAACAAAAAATTGTCACTTTATGTCATGAGTCAAATTTGCTGATGGTGTGTCATAAAAACACTTTCATCCATATTTTTTTTCTTTTAGTTACCCATGCTAATTAAATATAAAAGTGTCTATCACCTAACAATTTAAGTTATAATAGAATATTAACCTAAATGATCATTTTATGTATCATTTTTTCGTAGAATGGTTTGGTATGTTATATCAAAAAGAAATATTCTTTATTTTCTTTAATTTTGGTTCAAATTTTTCAAAGCTTGCATAATTCAGCTAATAGAATTTGTATTCGTTATTTTTCGAGAAAGTTAAATTATATTCAAATAAAAAAAAAATGTTTTACATGTACTACATTGTTCTGAAATTATTTTTGACAAACTGGAAAAAAAAAAGAGAATGAAAAGCACTTTGAAATTCAAAATTATCAAGTTCCAAACCATTAGCTTAGACCCTCGTCATATGCATGACCCCCAACACAAATGGAGCATAGACTGATGCGCATATTTGTGTCACCAATCTTGATGATGATGGTGGTTGATGTGTTTGGGTTCTCTCCGTGACGATGAAAGTTCTGTTTCCTCCAGAGATTGTATATCATCGATCGAAAGAGATAGCAAAGTAAAAACAGAGCAAAGTTATCGATGGCTTGATTTGTTAGAAATAGAGATAATTTGTATATATTCACTATTAACAAAGTTACTAATACGAAAGCCTAGAAAAAATAACATTTACCTCAATTCGATTTCCTTGTACATTTTGCTTTAAGTTCATTCAATATATTCATTCGGCAAATGTGCATTATAATGTATGTACGCTTCTGTGACCCAAAAAAAAAATGTATGTACGCTTCATATATTTTGTAGCACACATATTACAGTTTATTTTCAATTGAGTCTCATTTCTAAACTAAAACCTAAAAAGTCTAAACCTTTTATATAAAAGATATGAGATATGTATTGGAAAAAAAAAAAGTAGGAGGCATGTGAGATTACATGTGGCTTTTGAGGCACTTAGACAAGAAAACAAAAGGCAGGAAAAAATAAAGCAGCCACCTTGTAACTTCCTTGGCAGATTCGGATTCCCC